CCGGACAGTTCCCATGGTGTGGGTGTGCTGTGCTGTTTTCTTACTATAATGATGGGAACATTCCCATGTCTTTTGCACTCTGAGCAACCAACACTGAGTTTCCTAAATAAAAGCTTCTCAAGAGGGCAGTAAAATGCTCCTAAGTGGCACAGGCCTGGTCTGAATTTCAGTTTCTCGACATCCATCTCATCAGAGCATCTACAATATATATTTTGCAAAAATTACTGAAATTCTACACAAATTGAATTACAAGAAATACAGGAATTAGTCTGCTTGGTTGGTCTTCATTGTGTTTCCCTCTGACATAATTATTTTGATTTCAGAAATAAATATAATTTACACTAAGGACATTTATGTAGCACTGACAAAACTGTAAGTCTATCTTGTTTTATTCTCTTTTGATAAATCAATTTAGAAAAATATTTCCACAATTAATCTCTTGGTTTTTTATTTGCCTACAATGAGCTTCCATTCTATTAATGGTACAATTTGTGAATCCTTGCCTTCTTTAAATTACTTTAACTTATGCTACATAACTCTATACTTGAGTTTTCTCTAGTTGTCAAGACAATTATCTTCATGTAATTGTGGCCTCCAATTACACTACAAACCAAATTCTCCTGTAAGGCACAGGATACATACACAGACTGAATAAGCTACCCCAATGACACATGATATACAAAGAAAGGCGTGGTATGTGTCACTACAGGGGGACATGGTGAGTCTCAAATTACACAATATCCACCAGATTGTGGATATCTCTACCACCTCTGCCTCTCCATCTGCTGCATCAGCCTTCTCCTCACTAATGGATAGGGGTTGGCAGACTGAAATTTGAACAAGGACACTCACAGACATAAGGTTTTAGAGTCATAAGGTTTTAAGGCAGTGCATACTTGCTCTACTAAACAGATGCAGTGGCGCCCACACACGATCACAGCTGTAGCTTGTGAGCTGGTCTGCCAGCACCAACACCCATTTCTTAGCACAGAGTAGGGGCAACAGAGTGTCATGAGAGACTGCTGTATGGTGACAAGGTCTTTCCTTACCTCTCAGTCTATAGGTAACTCCTTCATTTCATGAAGTATTTCATTTAACCCACCTAGTTTCTGTCTGTATTCAGCACACCTGATGAATCACATCTCAAAAGCCACTTGCTTGTTCGGCGTCTGTACTTAATGCGCCTGATGGGAATCATCCATCTCGTTCCATGCACTATAGCAGAACCAAACTCTATCAATTAACACAGCAAACACACTATCTTAATATTTGAGCATTTTCTCCATCTGTTCAGCTGTGTTTACAAAGTCTATGCTTTCTCTTATTTCATTCTTTGCACCTGGCCATTTCTCACTTTCCTCTTAGTTTTTTTTTATTTTGAAGATCTAATCATAGGAGTGTTTGGGGGGAAACTGCAAAATAAACTTTCCAATATCCATGTGTGTGCATGGTGAGTGTGTCAGGCAGGGTCAGATCTATAGTCAGAGAATACAGAAGCTAATGGAGAATTGGAGTGCTTCTTATTTAGGAAAACAGCTTGTTGCCGATCTGAGTCTTTGAAACAGGAAATGTTGGGGGAGTAGAACTGACTTTTTTCTTCTTTGAGAGTTAAGGGTAGCCAATATATTTAGGTTTTATTCATATTACTATTTTCTGAATCTTTGTGGTGTAACAAACTACCACACTGTGAAACTTAGGCAGAATAGAATTTCTTTCCCACAGTTCCTAAAGCTGGGAAGTCAAAGACTCAGGTGCCATCATATTTATCGTTTGTTCATAGGAATGGCACCTTGCACACTGCCTCTTCCAGAGGGGAGAAACACTGTTCTCACAAGGCAGAAAGCAGTGTCGATGCAAAAGCATAACTCTCACCTCAAAGGGGATATGAGATAGTTTATTCTGAAGCCAAATATGAGTGACCATGACCCAGAACACAGATTCAGTTTACCCCAAATTCCATGTTCCAGCGTGGTAACAGTTGCCTTACATTTTTATAGTAACAGAACAAAGAAAAGTCATCAATCAAGACACTTTTCAAATACATTGGAGGATACATTCAGTAGGCAGGTCACAGCAAAACGAGAGTTTTTTTTATTATAGGTCTCAGATGCTGTCTGATGACATTCTTAGCCTTTTGATTGGTGAGACCAGGTGGTCTGCTAGGATAATACATTTTAAATGGTTATCTGTTAGTCACAGGATGTTAGATCTGAAACAGAGGTGGGCAAGGAGTGGCTGTTTAGGGGGCTAAAGATGGTCAGTGATAAATGGCAATTAGACTCTGGACCTGCAACATTCCAAACTCTCCACAGTCTCTGCAGTGATAATCAGTTGGTCAGTCTTGCAGGAAGTTCAGTCCAAGGTGCAGGAGTTTTTTTTGGAAACTTTTCTTTCACAGCAGAAAGGCACAAAAAGAATGGGGTGGGGTGAGGGGACCATTTCCCATCAAATCACTTTATAAGGGAACCTAACTCTATCGAAGAGTGTGGAATCCTCATGAGTCAATCTTTTCTTAAAGGTCCCAGTTTCCTTCTTTGAATGCACTCATGGTTGCTCGAGGTGCTCAGAATGCAAGACTGTTGAGTGCTCAGCCCTAAATAGGACATTATACCACCCCTATAACATCAGGGATCACTGTGGAAGAGGAGACAGAAAGAACTGGAAGATAGGGATGAGGATGGTGAAATGCTGTCTTCTGGGTGTGGCACAGCAAATGCAGTGACGACAGCATAGCAGCTATGGTTGCCTACAATGGGCCTGCACAAGTCTGAGTCCACCAAAGCCAAGCCTGGATTAGGGCAGGGCTCACAGGGCCCTACTACTCTCTGAAGAATTCTTGGCTACACATGAATTCTGGGTGAGGGTCACTCATTGTCTTCAGTTGTGTACCCCCTAGGAGCCCACCAGGCTCCAAGGAACAGTTCCAAACCCATGGTGGTCATATAGCCAATTGCCTTAACTCAGTCGGTCTTAAAAAATAACCAACCAACCAACTGTAGTTAAAATTCCTTCTGGAAGGTGGAAATAACATTTGGGCCTGCTCCTCCTGATTTTGCCAAACTGCAATCTGGGAAACCAGTGAGTTTATTGGGCTTACTTACAGACAAATTGGTGAGTGTTTACTTACAAGAGTGTGTAGTCATCCCTCTTAAGGATGCACTGGGAAGTCTCCTTTCCAGGCATGGATCATGACTTCACCACAGCCACACAAAATGATGAGAGCCCCTCCCAAAGGCTTCCTCAGTTTATATACCCTTAGCCCCTTCCCCTCATGAAACTGGGTGCCAACTGGATGGTTGCAAGGTGTGACTGACTCTCCCTGCCCCTCCTGTCTTGAAAAAGAGTAACAGTCAACAAGTTTAGCTGTGATGATCCCAGGCAAGGGAGTTGCAACCAAGCTTGGGAAGATGGCATCTGTCTATGGTCTGGTGGTCTGAGGATTGCCCGCTGCAACACCAATCAACCAAAATCCACAAAGACACGTGGGAAAGGGACTTGTAGGGTAAGTAAGAGGGGCGGGAGGGAAATTAGATGGAGAGTTAATCAGAATGAATTTACTACATATATGAAACTGTCAAAGAACAAATTCAATATGTTACTATAAAAAGTTATACCTCTCATACTTTCAATGTGAATTCTTGGAAGAGACAATCATTTGTAGTAAAAGTAATAGGAAACATTCTAGCAAGGTGAACAATAGCTTTGGAGGTGTCATTCTTAAGCACCTGGGGGCAGATGTACAAATTGTTACGGGGATCATTCTTTTTCTAAATCAAGTGCCTAGAAGTGAAATTGCGTCTTAAAAGAGGATGAATTATGAATATTTTCCTCCCTCCTCACTAGCGTGCACACACTTAAGCGACCCTTACGCACCATGAGGAGCAGATGTTGAGAGATGGGCATGCACAGAATCTGCAGGTTTGTGGATGTGGTCTACTGTTTTAAAACTGATTGGCTGGGAGATCGATTTTAAAGTTTTAGCCCTTTCCTTGTAAAAACTGCCAACACTCCGCTCATGGGATTTCCTAAGTACTGTAAGGCTTAGGAACACATCCACAACTTTACTAGCCCTGATTCCAGGCAGGAATTCAGATTTCACGGTTATTTCACAAAGCATCATGTATTGGAATGAATGGCACCAGTCCCAGAGATGATGGAACAGAGGGTGAAGTGGCATGAGCAGAGCCACCTACAGGTGGAAACATTAGGGGTTGCTTTAACTGGCTCCGACTTACTTAAGACAGCGCCAAGTCAGTGAAAGCCAGGGGCAGTCAGAGAAATTAAGAACAGCTTTGTCTTGTCCCACCTTGTGATTTCCTGCCTCTGTCACCTGAAGGCTTATTTTTATGGGAAGCCAAATGATACAGAATTTTTTGAAAGTAATTTCCAGGCTCCCATCCCAACCATCACTTGAGTGTGGGTGACTATGGGGCTCAAAGACCACAAGAAATTATCCTGTACAACACCTTAAGGGAGAGGTGTCCTTTAGGTAGTAAACTCCATCAGAAAAATAAAAACTGACTTATTTGGTCTTTGGGACTTCATAGATCCCACATCTACTACAGCTCTTGCCATATGAAATGAATAGAATCAGTAAATACTTAAGTATCTAGTCCCATCACTGGAAAATAGTTTAAACCAGCATTCAAATAATTAGCAAGCAATGCAAGTGAATTTTAAAGAAATGTAAATTAACTCATATTCAAAAATATTTTACAGTATGCTTTTCGGAAGTTAGCATTTCGTCAAATAATTCTATTATTATTCAAGGAATCTTTAGGGCTATTCTTTTGAAATTGCCTTTCGGAACTCTCCGTGAGCACGCACGGTGGTCAGATGACAACTTGCACGTCTGGTCTCTCCTTTCACATGGTTTCAGGGATCGAACTCGGGTCGTCAGGTTACAGAACACCGCCTTAACCAGCAGTGTTACCTCGCCCACCGAGACCTAGCTTTGGAAAAATACCTGATAGACATTCACGGCGCTATGCCAGGTGCTTTTTCTTTCAATTTCCCAATTCTTTGCTTTTTTGAGACAAGGTTTCACTACGAAGCCCAGGCTACCACAGCTTTCCAAGCCAGCCCCCATCCTCGCACCCCGACCCGCCCCCTCAGCACAAAGCTTGTTAAGGGTACTCAGCAAGCTAGGGGCGAGCTCAGTCCTGGAGCCCGGATGCCGGCACAGCACCGCACAAGCCAGACGCCTGCCCGCTCCCGCAGCAGCACCCTGGGTGCTGTCCGCTGACGTCAGAGGTCCCGCCCAAGAGGCGGGACTTCCTATCCGGGTTAGCCAATTCCGGGCGGGCCGGAAGTCCCTATTCCGGAAGTATACAGGTCTTCCCGCAGGCCGCTCTGGAGACCCCGGGTCCTCGAGTGCCAGGTCTTTCGGGGTGGTGAGAAGCAGGAGCTGCGGCATGGACAGCCGTTTGCAGGAGATCCGGGAGCGGCAGAAGCTACGGCGGCAGCTGCTGGCTCAGCAGGTCCGTGCTGGGCCGGGCGTTCGCGCGGCCCCGGGGCTGGGAGGGCGGGAGCGCGTGCGTGCGTGCGCATGTGCGGCAGCCTCTGCCCCGCCCGCTCTTTTGCGCGCTACCTGCTGCTGTCAGGTCTCGGTCCCGCGACTTTTATTCCCGAATCTCCCTTTTTCTCAGCTCGGGCAGGTGCGGTTCCTGCCCGAGTCATTGTGTTGAAGACACTAGGCCACTGTTGGGCTTAGTGGGCCTCACCAGGGCTGGCATGGTCTTCCGGGGTGGAAATGCAGTCTTGGTCATTGTAAATAAGGTCTAGCAGTTCACGTACCGTCGCTTGTTAGCCTCCACATTTCTCTATACTGTTTGAACAGTGTTTAGTGTCTTGCCTGCGTAGTCAGCTCCGCAGTGTGGAGACTGATTTTGAGATAGACACCGCCCCCCCGGGGGGAGGCGTTATTTCTAAAGTCTGCGTTGGAAAGAACCTGAGAGTAAGTTTTAGATTCTGCACCCAAGACACAATATTCTCCGCGCAGCCCCTATTCATGATAACACCCAGAAACAGGTAGCATTGTTTTCACTTACTAAATAGGTAACTGGTTTCAGAGGTTAAGCTGGGTTTCCGATGGCCACTCACTATTCACCAGGAAATTGACTCAGGTTTGTCTCGGTCTTTTCTAACCCTTGTCATCTAACCATTTCATAACATCGGCGTGTTAATGCTTGCTGATTGGTAGACTGCATATGCAGAGTACAGATTATACATTGTTCGACTGAAAATCGGGGACTGTTTTCCATTGTGCCATACAGATCAGTAAGTGACTGAGAGAAATGCTCAGACGCTTGAGTGAGGCTGCTTGCTATAACTTTCCAGTGCTAAATCTTGGTGCCTCAAAGAATTCTCTTTGAAGAAATGACTTGTATACCGAGATATACATTACAGAAAAAGACAGGAGCCAGTCATGGAAAGAAATTTAGAAAACATTCAAACGATAGGAAGTAGATGTGCCGTCCACTGACCAAAACAAGTCTGGAAGATTTTATGGAGGAGTCGAAATTGATGAACATTTCATATATTGGAAGAGATTATTCCATAGAAGAAATTTGAGGGCAGTCATAGGAAATGGATAGATTAGAAGAGTGTTGGGTAATTGAAATCCAGGCACTATTTTCATATGCTTTCTCTCGCCTTTTAGGACCACTAAATGCAGATGTTCTCATGGCCTTCTTGTACTGAATATTAAACAGTTTCTAGTGCTGTTCTGTAGTCCTTATGTGCCTTGAAAGCTTTCTATGAATTGACCCTATTTTACTTAGTGAACCTGCTTGTATTTGTTGCAGTCTGCAGAATTTTCCTAGCTGCTACCCAAAGTTGACATTACCATTTTTAGGCCATTAGTAAACTTCACCATCAAACTTACAATCATTATAAAAACGTAGCTTTAATAAAACTAACTTTTTTTTAGCGCATGGGATAAAATATAGTATATGAAACAATGCATACAAAGTGCTTAGCCTGCAAAGTTACATAGGAACTGTGTTAGCTGGTTTTTGTGTTACTGCTGCTACTACTAAATCATGTTTTGGAAATTGGCTGAAATGAATTGTCTTAATTTCAAATATAACCCAAAGTATAAAATATTTTCGGCTGGTGAAATCACCCTTTTTAAAAACTTAAACTTTTATTTATTTGAGTATGTTGCCTGCATGTATGTCAGTGCACCTGCCCATGCAGTGCCCACAGAGGCTGGAAGAGGGTGTTGGATCCCCTTGAACTGGAGTTAATAGATGGCTTTTAGTTGCCATGTGGGTGCTGGGAACCGAACCCAGGTCCTCTGCAATAGTAGCCAGTGCTCTTAACCACTGAGCTGTTTCTCCAGCCCTGATAAAATTGTTCTTAATTAAAATGATGTTCTTCAAGTTTGCAGTTTATCCTCGAAGATTATTAATTATGTGATTTATGGGGCCATAAGTGTGTTTTTAGAAATTTTTAAATTTTCATTTTATGTGTATGAGTATTATGCCTACATGTATGTAAGTATACCCATGTTGTGCAATGCTTGAGGAGGTCAGAAGAGGGTATCGGATCTCCTGGGACTGGAGCTACTGACAGTTGTTAGCTGCCACGTACGTGGGTGCTGGGTTCTGAACCCAGGTCCTCAGCAAGAGCAGCCAGTGCTTTTGACCACTGAGCCATTTCTCCAGCCTTGGGGGCATTGCTTTATAAAGGATTTGGTATATAAAATCATCAGCAAGGGGCTGGAGAGATGACTCAATGGGTAAGAGCATTGGCTGCTCTTGCAGAAGACCTTTGTTCAAATCCCAGCACCCACATGGCAGCTCACAACCATCTGTAACTCCAGTTCCAGGGGATCTGACACCCTCTTTTGACCTCATTGGGCATTGCACAACATGATTTACTTATGCACTTGCAGGCATAACACTCATACACGTACAATAAAAATAAAGTTAAAAAAAATTCAAGTCATCAGCAAGAAATGCTGCAGCGTCTGTGAAGAGTACTGTGATTTAATGTTTGGCTTTGCTTCTTAGCTGGGAGCGGAAAGTGCTGACAGCATTGGTGCTGTGTTAAACAGCAAGGATGAACAGAGAGAGATTGCTGAAACGAGAGAGACTTGTCGGTATGTGGACTGTCGTGCTTTTAGCGGTGTGCTAATATTATGAAGGGACCATTTGTTGTATTTTTTTTAGTTGTAAGTTATTTGTGGGTTTAGGGTGCTTTTTTGGTGGGGAGGGGCAGTCATTGAAACACACTCTTGGCTATGTAGCACAAGCTGACCTTGAACTTGTAATTCTTCTTCCTGAGCTTCCTGAGTACTAGGATTTGAAGTGTGTACCACCTGCCCACTAAGGATTAATGAATTAACTTACCATATATAATATTAAATTATAAATTATAATTTTTATGAATTTATAAAAGAATATACTGTAAAAGCAGTAGTTCAGAAAACATTTCGCTTTTTTAAAAATATTCTAGGTTATCGGTTTGAATCAGTTTTGCTTACAGCACATAGTATAAAATATAAATAAAAATAGTCTAAAGTGATACATTTAGTCTCTGCACTTTTTGTATCTTTTTACACTTGCTCTCTGTACTTTGACCAGTCATGAGTTTCTGCATTAACCTCCAATCACTGCACAAAGAAACTTCTCTAGTGAAGACAGGGCTCTATTAACCTACAGGTAGAAAGAGATAAAAATTCTTTATAACTAACCCCCCCCACCCCCGGTTGCTTATAAAAATAAAGTTACAAATTCTCAATTATGTGTGACTTTTTGGGTGATTTATAAACAGGATAAATAGGTACTATTTAATCAGGAAACATTTGCTTTGTTCTGTTGTTTAATTATTCATAATACAAGTAGGTGCATATATATGTTTTATATGTGATTGTGTGTGATAGTTGCACTTTAATTTTTCAGGGCTTCCTATGATACCTCTGCTCCAAATTCAAAACGGAAGTGTCTGGATGAAGGAGAGACAGATGAAGACAAAGTGGAAGAATATAAGGCAAGTAGCAGATGAGTCAGGTCTGTGGTCAAGAAGAAATTAATCCTTCTAACACTAGGCCCATTTCATATAGAAAGCTCAATTATAAGATGTGCTAAAATCATCAGTGACATTTATACTTTCAGTTAAAGACTCCACATCAGTTCTCTTGTTTTAGGTAAGAATTATGTGACTTACCTTTAATTAAATATATAAAACACAACATAATTCTTGGTAAGCACTGGCAGTAATACTCTTCAGAAGAGCAAAGAGACTTTGGGTAATTGAATTGCATCAGATTTGGAGAGGCTATCGTTACCACTTTTTAGTTACATTACAAGATCGCATAATTAAAACACTTCGAGGCCCTGTAGCAGTTGTATAACCATTTCTGAAAGAGCCCAAGCAAAAACTTCACTTCTTTGTTGGTTTTAATGTGCTTTTTATTAATTTGAGAATTTCATACATGCATTCAGTATATTTTGATCATACTCACCCACCCCTAATTCTTCCTGTATCCACTCCACATCTCCCCTCTTAACTTTGTATCCTTTTTTTTTTTTTTTTAAACAAGCAAACAAAACCAAAAACCTTACTGACTCCAGACTCCAGTTTGTACTTCCCATGTACACATGAATATGGGGCTATCAACGGGCTTGTGATTGACTTACCAGAAACCACACCCCTTAAGAAATCTGAATCTTCCCCCATAGCAGCCATCAACTGTCGGTAGCTCCTTAGCGAGAGGTGGGGGCCCATGAGCTCCTGCCCCTCCATGCAAATATATTGACTGGCTTGATCTTGTCAGGCACCCATAGCTGCTGTGAGTGCATGAGTACATTGGTCTTGTCAGGTCCTCCCCAACCTCTGGCTCTTAAAATCTTCCCACCGTTCTTCTTCAATGTTCCCTGAGCCCTGGGTAGGGTTGACATAAATTGTGGCTTAGCACTCCACTGGCACTTACTCTCTACACGTTGACCAGTTGTGAGTTTTTGCATTAACCTACATTTACTATGCAAAGAAACTTCTGGTGAAGACTGAGGACTCTGTTAATCTAGAGGTAAAGAGAGATAAGAATTTAGAGGCAGTTTGGCAGTTCGATACTATGCCCATTTAGCAAAATATTAGTAGGTTCTCTCCTGGGGCCTGTGAGCTCCCAGACCATAGGTTCTTGGTCAGATTTGCAGTACCAGGCATGTGTTTCCTGTAGAGCATGCCTTATATCCATGCAGAAAGTGGTTGGTTACCCTCTATGACATACATGCCACTATTACACTCATGTTCTTATCTTGTCAGGCCAGTTGTGATTGTACCTCACAAGGTTCACAGCTGGATTAGGCTGTTGGTGACTTTTCTCTCCAAGCAGCCTGTGTAGCACGTCCAGTCCTGTGAAAGCTGGTCAGCAGGGAGGAAGTGTCCTGGTTGGCAGCAGCTTCCTTTCTCCATGTCCTGTGACTGAAGTGTGTGGTGTTCCTAGTAGTAGAGTCTTACCATCAGGTTCTGGTAGGCAGTAGCCTGTTTGGGGTTCTCCTGGATAACCCTAACCGACAGTTTGTGGGGAGATATTCCAGTCCTGACACTGGACTTTTATTTGGCCTGTGTCTATTTGGAGGAACATTATCCCTGTGTCAGGTGACTCTTATTAAAGTCTTCTTATGTGTCTATGTGAAGCTTATAAAGTAGACGTTTCCAGATGGTCTTTTCAAGTACCCTCTGGGTTAGTTGTCCCTCCCTCAGCCCCCACCTTCCCTCTTCCCCATTTAACAAAACCCAACTTCTAAACTTGTAATTGAAAATTTATTTAAAAAGGAAGTATTATGAAGGAAAAACTTACCTCATTGTTTCCAAATTAATTGTATATATTAA